AATTCAGCTAGTCTTAGAGAAAGACGACCGACAAGGCACTTACATAAAGTAACAACTTTTACGCATCTTTTGGACTTTTGCATTGCTGGAAGGGCCATGGGTGATGATGTTTTTCTCATGGGAAAAAAAGGGAGGACTTGGATAGACTCGTAACACTGTTAGGATAGCATTTTAATTAGAGTGTATATTATGTGGACTGAGATTAAAAATAAAATTGCGTTATTAAATCAGAACGTCATCATATTGGTGTAGCTAGTTAATCTAAGTTGTTTTTGGTAAAACGTGAAAAATAACACTACTTGTTATGTGATATTTATATAAGACGGTGATTTGCGTTTAATAAAAATTCTTTAACTGTAAATAGAGGTAGCAATTTGCACACAACGGGCCCGCTAAAATCAGTAACTGGGTTGGGTCTTTACCGGCCAAGTTGATAACAGTTGAAACCGTTAATGACCCATCATTTAATGGTTGGTTTCGAGTCCACCCGCAAAATCGTTAAATATCCGTTGATGTTGTAAAATCGACGGTGTGTGTGCAGTGGAATAAATAAAATAAGACACAAAATTTATGAGGTTCCTCTACAGTCAGTGTGACTGGAGTACGTCATCGGGCAGCAGTGATGCTTTCATTATAATTTGGAATAATAGGAGTACAAAGATAACTCTATGTATTCTCTCCTCTCCTCTTCCTCTCTTTCTTATTTTGCTCAATATTGAAAGCATACGGAGTGCTCTATTTATAGAGCAACTCCAAGCACACATCTTTGACAATATAACTTCCTTCACCTCCCAAGTCAAGATTAATTTTATGAGCATTGAAAAACTACCCAATGTCTTCAGTTTCTATGTGGGCATTCATTACCCACTAGACTTTTCAACACTCCCCCTTGGATGCCCACATATCAACATGAGTTGCCTCGTTAAGATCTTGATCTATTTTTGGATGCTCCCCCTTGATGAGTATCTCCCCCTGATTTCAAATTATTTAGGCTGATTATTGATCCTGCTGCTTTAGTCTTTTAGCGGTGATAGTTGCCGAATGAGGTGTTTCACTTGTTGTTAACTTTCCACAGACTTGTTCTTGAACTGGGTTGGAGGGCCTTCTGCTAAACTTCCTCCAAAGGTCTGAATTTACCTATTTTATCTGGAGCTGAATTTGATTCAAGGATGGTGGACACTTGATCTTGAATCGGACTTGTGATTTCTTCAAAGGCCGTCTAGACTTGATCTTGAATGAAATTGGATCATGAGAAGCTTCATGTGACAAGTGATCTTAGGCTTTGTCGGGGATGAACTGACATGTGTTTGTTGTGATTGTCTCCACATGCTTCAATGTATCATTTTCACTTGCCTTACTTGTTCACTTTGCAGAAGTGGTATTTTCCTTATGCAGGTTTGACATCTTCTCTTGTAGTATTTGTCCTCTGATACAGGAGTGGAATGCAAACCTTGCATTTGAATGGACCATCACTTCTTGGTGGCAGCGAAAGTTTGAGTGGAGGTTCCGACATATTGCTTTCTCTGTCCTTGTCTTGGCAGGTAAGAACAAGGACAAAGGAAAGGACAGAGAGATTGCATGATATGAGATACTCTTACTCTCGTCCCTGATGATATGAGATACTCTTACTCTGGTATGACTTGTTTGTAGAGGTATTCTCAGAGAGGAAGAAAACTGAGTATTTCGAGATACTTTGTGAAAGATGCATTCTCGGAGATGAGGAAGAGTTAGATATTTTTCAGTTCTGCCTTGCCATAGAGGATAGAGGTTGACATATATATGGATTTCCCAATAGCAGGTAGTAGTGATGTGCCTTTACTCTTGTCAGCAACTGTGGTGTAATTAGAACAGTAAGATTCACGCGTTTTCAACTTTATCAGAGATCTTTGACAAAGTTGCACGTGATATCCAAGAGCTGAGATTGCGTCTGAGAAATGTTGACAGACGTCATGCAGGGAAATCCGGCTTTTGAAATTCAAAAATCGATGTCTCTTCGATTTTTGAATAAGTGGTCCTGTTGCCCATCCTTTTATAGAGATATCAATTTTGTTCAGAAACACTCAGAAAATTGTTGCCTGCAGAAATTTCCCTTTCTTGCACTTCTGAGATTTTATCTGACTTCCTTCATCATTTCTGAAAATGGTTTGCCCATCTAACATTTGCTTAGATTTGAGTCTCAAGATTGATACAGACGAGCAGCGTCAGGGTAACATATGGCACCCGTCCTTCTCATCTTCTAATGGTCCTCTTACGGTTGGGGACTCTGTGATGAAAAATAACATAACCGCTACAGTGGTAGCCATAAATCTTCTCACTCCAAAGGATAACAGAATCCTTTCAAACCGGTCTGATGAGGTAACCGTTCAAGACTCATTGGCTCTCAGTGTTCAATGTGCGAGCTCTGTAGCCAATATGGGCTAGCGCCTACTTACTCGAACTCACCAAGTTGAATCATTAATGGCTGAGGTGGCAAGTCTTAAACAAGAGATTAGAGGGCTCAAGCATGAGAATAGAGTGTTACACATGCTTGCAAATAATTACTCTACGAGCATGAAAATAAAGCTCGACCAGCTACTGGAATCCGAAGGTCGGACTCAAAATGACAATCGGGGGTTCGAGTCTTTATTTCAAAGACATCCATTGTCTTAGCTGTCTGGAGTTCCACCAATTATTGAGACTCCAAATAATCAACTTCTGGTGTCTTCCCCTTCTGGGGTACTTCCGAGTACTGAGGCTTCACATGAGCAACCTTTGTGAAGGTTCCCTCCTATTTGTTTGTTTTAACTCATGTGTATGTAATTTCTCGGAGATATTAATATATAAGTTTTATTTCATTCAGTTTATTGTGTTAAATACAATAAAGCATATATTTCACTAAGATGTGGTACTTCTAGACCAAATATCAATTTATCTTTACCCTCGCGAAAATAAATGATCATTCTTAGTGTCTAAACCATTTGAGTATTCAACTCATGATCTTCAATCCATAGGTTTTTTTAATATCATAAACATCATGGATAAGATTCGTGTTGGCATATTGTTCGATTCTGCAGTTCGAGACAATATTTTTCTCAACACTTTATAATCTTTCTTGACTCTTTAGGAGTCCCAATTTAATATCATCAACTCTTGCAAGAGATTTTAGTATGGTGCAACAATACCATAACGAAAATACTCACTAAGGCATTTATATCATCTATTGGTATTGAGTACATATTTTATGTTTTACCCTTCCGGGGCTTTCTTCAAGCAATTTGAATCCTTCAGGGATTTTCTACATTTTATGACACATTTTCCTTTAGAATTTATACAGAGCAATTCGCTTCCATGTATATTTGAGGGATTTACTTATGGAGATATGATGTGGGCGACTCATAACCCTTCGTATATAATTCTCCATTTATACGAACTCGTTTCCAACCTTGTGTCATATAATGTGAGTATATTTCACGGTATTACAAATGCCCATATGTAACCTTCAAGGTTCAACATCTTTTGACTATTTGTATTGTATCCAAGTATATAGGTCTATTTTTCCACGTTCTTACAAAATTATAATGGAATTGCCTTTCTCCATTTTGACCCATAATTTTGTTGATGGAAAAAGAACGGGATTCAATATCAACACAGCTCATTGATGAATTTAGTAGCTACTTGTAAAAACCAAAATTACCATTGGTTATCATCAATCTTTGATCCCATATTCTCATGTGCATGCGCATGCATAAAAGCTTTTCATTTCTTTTGAGATATCCATTGCCTCTTCAAGGGCATTACATTATCTCTTCCAGGATAGTCATAATTTAGAGAATGCGGATCATAACCTCCTCTTGAGCGTTATAGAGCTTGAATTTTAATCTCCACTTCCGGGAGTTGAGTCATTGAAACCTATACATCTATCATGCTTCATGCATGAGACATCAATATTCCCATGTCCGCGGATTGACCTTTTCGGGACAAGTATCCTTGCGACAACTGTCATGCGTCTGGCATGTGACAATTATGCAATAGTTCAGTAGTGCTATATTCTTCTTATTTCGAATGACTGAACCTTTTGAGTCTGAAGATCTGCCACGCTTCAGGCGTGTAACAGATAAATCATTTGCTGCCATATTATTTTGTCCAACAGGGACATTAATTCTTGTAGGCACATTTGCAGCAAGTATATGTGATTTTATCACTTTCGTTTCATCATTAAATGCATCTAGCATTTGATTTGCATATCGTTGCATCATTCAATTATTCCCACTTCGTTTGTATATTGATTGCTTCATGAATCAAAATAAGACAAATTCTATTCGTTCTTCTGTAACGGTTTTTTTTCTCATCATTCTTCTGGAATGATATTTCCTCATCGTTCTTCTGGAACGAAGTTATTTTCTGTTACATGAAAACATGTGGAGTGCTCTATTTATAGAGCAACTCCAAACTGATGCATTAACTACATGTTGAAACTTATAACACGTCCTCTGACAATACAATTCATATTCCACTTTTACTTTGCATGGGCATTGAAAACTTATGCCCATGCTGAAGACTTCTGCTAATATACTGTGTGAGCATTCAATGCCATCAGACTTTTCAACAGTTGACAAGTTAAAATGAAAACCCCAACTAAGAACTGCCCAAACAATTTAATTATTATTATTTTTGTTAACGAAGGAAACAATTGACCCTGTAACAAAACGGGTCATTTTGGATTCAATCATTTTCACCATAAATTTAACAGATTAAATTTGAATGACTCGCTAAAACATCTCTTTATGGTCAACTCAACCAAAGCTCAACTAAACCCAAGAATTTTCCAGCCCTATCTGCACCAAAACAGTATTTGCCATGGACTTTTGAGTGCTGAAGGAGTTATGGGGCCACAATTTTATTAATCAATATACTTCGAAGGTGACCTCTCAAAATCTGGTAGTCCTTATATCACTTTTGACCTAAAAATTTTGGTTCTAAGTCAAGTTCCTTACTACTACAGTTAAATGGCTCTTTTGCGTTGTAAATCTCAATCGCACTGCAGGGGCATTTCTATCATTTAATCCCCCTACTGCACTAAGCTTTACAAAAGCACAAAGTAAGCTGTCTGTAATCCGATTCAGATATCTTTTCCTGAAACACATGATTGCATTAAAAGTCCATTACAGCGAAGCTTCTTATTATTTTGTTTCTCTAAATCACATTTAATTATTTATTTATTTAGTTAATCTGTTTCTGAGTCGTCTTCAAAAATGGTTCTGTGGTGGAGTACTAGTCTTACAGCTAGAGGTTAGATTTTCACAGCAACACAGCCTTGTAGTCGTTTTCAGAATATTCATCTGTTTTCAAAAACGGGAGACTGAAAAACACCTTGCTTGCTTCTAACTTCTGTTCTAACTTCCAACATCAAACAAAGCAGCATTGTTTTGTTTGCTGAAGATCTCAGAAATTTTTTTCCGAGATCTGAAAACTCAGGACTCAGAAAACAGAAAACATGTTCAAGTCATGGAGCAAGAAGAAGAAGATAAGGGCTGTATTCCAACTGCAGTTTCAAGCAACGCAGGTATTGTTTTCAAACACAAAATCTAAAACCTTCTCCTTTCCTGTCACTTATTTCGAAATGGTTTTGTTCTGGATGGATTTATTTCGAAATTTTCGATTTCGAAACAAGTTCAGCTGAAATGCGACCTAATTATATATACAATATATATTGTGCGTGTGTGTGTGTGTGTGTAAACAGGATCATCATATTCGTACCTGGACTTTTTTTCTGACTGTTTTTTGTTCAGGTGCCAAAATTGAAGAAGCCTGCTTTGATGCTGTCGCTGGTGCCGGACGACGTCGGAAAGGCAACGGTGAAGCTGGGGAAAGCGGCGGTTCAGGACGGCACCTGCATTTGGGAGAATCCAGTTTTTGAGTCAGTGAAGCTCGTTGAGGAAGTAAAAACAGGAAAACTGAAAGAGAAGATTTATCACTTCATTGTTTCAAATGTATGGAAGAATCGAGTTTTTGGAGTTTTTTGGGTTTTCTAGTTTTGTAGTTTAGATGGGATTGTTTTGGTAATGTTGTAATTCAAAGGGGATTGTTGCAGGGATCTTCGAAATCAGGTTATCTCGGAGAAGCTTCAATTGATTTTGCAGATATTGTGGCGGAAACTGAACCGTTAAGCATCACACTGCCCCTTAAGTTTGCAAACTCTGGTGTGGTTTTACATGTGACAATTGACAGGATTCGGGAAGATGGTGATCAAAGGTGAGAATCCACACTCTATCACTCTATTCCTTCTCTAGTTTTGCTTTGTTTCGATATTTGTTTCGCTGTTCCCTTCGCTTGCGCAAGCTAGACATAAGATTTAATCTGATCTTCAGGGAAATCGAAGAGAGTGACGATCCAAGTCGTTCGCACCATAGCAGCGTAGATGGAAGCAACCACCAAAGTTTCAACGAAACGGTATGTATAGCACTTTCTTTTCAATCAAGTTAACTAGAATGACCTAAAATTTATGAATATTTAGTGGGAAAAAGGTGCCAGTTCTGGGATGAATCTGAGGATGGGAACTTGACTAGATGTAGTTCATGTTGCTGCAGAATAAAGGATATGCCCATCGTGACGCTGGCAGTTCCCTGTCACCCCCTGAAGTACCAACTTCTATGCCTCAAAATGGACATGCGGGTGCCAACGGAAGGAAAACCCACGTGCGTCAAAAATCAAGCTTGGATTGGTCTTCAGATGAAAGCTTATTTGACTCGCCAGACATTGTTGAAGACAAGCTTCCGACAGGAGTGCAAGCCGTTTCAGATGTTGATAAACTCAGAAATGAAATGACTGCTCTGAAGAGGCAGGCAGACCTATCGGAACTGGAATTGCAGTCTCTTCGGAAACAGATGGCCAAAGAGAGCAATCAAGGACAGAATCTGTCTAGACAGATTGTTTGCCTTAAAGAGGAGAGAGATGCGCTCAAAATGGAATGTGAACAACTTAAGTCCTCGCAGGGACGTGGTAATGGCAAACGGACTTTCAAAACGTTGCAGCCCGAGACTGAGGATACAAGAGCGCAGTTAGAAGCAATGAAGCAAGAGCTTAGTTCTGAAAAGAAAGCAAGAACCAATCTTCGCTTGCTGCTCGCGCAGACACAAGACTCAAATTCTGAGTTAGTCCTTGTCGTGAAGGATCTCGAAGATGCATTGGGAAAGAAAAATAGAGAGATATCTGATCTTTCAAGCAAGTTAGAAGCTGAAAAAATATCCAAAGTGATGGGAACATATTCCGCAGGAAGAAAAAAAGAGGTTGATCAGGAAATAGAATCATTGAAGCTTGACATCAGAGAACTTCTCAGTGAAATAGATACCCACCAGAAGAAGAGGGAAGAGCAAGATATGCGTATAAAACAGCTCAGCTTGGACTATGACCTTTTAAAGCAGGAAAAATATGACATCTCTATGAAGTTAGATCGAAACCAAGAACGAATACGAACAGAGATGGAAAATGAGCGAGCGGGTTATATGGCTACTATAAAAGAGCTTGAATCTCAGTTAGAGAGATCAGAAGAAACAATTGAGAAGCAAGCACATGAATTCTCAGAATGTTTGATGTCCATTCAGGAACTTGAAAGTGAACTTAAGTCTTTGGAGATGGATCGTGAGATGCAGGCCAAGGGATTTGAAGATAAACTCGAGGAAGTGATGAATGCCAAAGTTGAGCAGGAATACAGGGCCATCCAAGCCGAGGAAGCATTGAAGAAGACAAGGTCCAATAATTCTGATACGGTTGAGCGCCTTCAAGAGGAATTTAGAAAGCTTTCTGTGGAAATGACGTCTAAGGTTGATGAAACTGAGAAGCAGGTCACAAAAGTGATGACAGAGGCTAATGAACTGCGCCGGCAGAACAGAATTCTGGAAGAGATGCTCCAGAAAGCCAATGAAGAGTTAGAGCTGATTAAGGGTGAGACTGAAGTAAAATTGCAAGATCTTGTCAACCAGATTGAGGTGAAAGCAAAACGTATAGAACAGATGTCTTCGGAACTAGACAATACATCAAAGCAACTTGAAAAAGTAAAGAGGCGTGAGGAAGAAGAGCATGAAGCTCTCTCAATGAAAATCCAAATGCTCGAAGCTGAGATAGAAAGGCTCACAGACGAGAATTCTAACTCCAGACAGGAGAAAGATAAATTGAGAGGAGATTTGGAACAAATGAAGAAATTAATTGCAGAAAATGAGATGCTGATCCAGTGTCTGAGTGTTGAAAAGGAAAATTTGGAGAAAAGATTTGTTTCAGCAAAGCGGGATACAGAGAAAACGCTTGAAGAACTTACTGACATTAGATCTTTGAAAGATGTGAAGGAAACAACAATTGCTTCTCTGAACTCCGAAGTGGAAAACCTGAAGACCCAGCACAGCAAGTTGTTGGATACGTTGAAAAAAGAAGCGTTGGCAAAAGAAAGCTTGAAGAAACAAATATCTCAATTACAAGCTGAGGTACAAAAGAAAGTCAGCAACTCAAAGAAAACGGTTAAGAATACCAACGGACAAAGGTACACTCATTTTATCAAGCAAAATTAACTCAACTAATTATACCATTTTATCTGCATATAGGTTTTTTGTTTTTATTATGTTGATGAGAATATGCATGTAAATGTGAACACAAACACGTACAATCACCAGTAAAAGTAGATTGCGACTTATTTAACTTCATTTCATTTCACAGGAAAGTAGAAGATTGCTCGGAGAAACAGTTGAAAGCCACCATTGATGAGAATAAGTGTACGGATTTGATGACCGAATTGACATTGCTGAAAGAAAGAAACAAATCTATGGAAGACGAACTGAAGGAAATGGAAGAAAGATATTCTGAGATAAGTCTCAGATTCGCAGAGGTTGAAGGTGAAAGGCAACAACTTGTAATGACCGTGCGTAACCTCAAAAACAGCAAGAAGAACTAGCTTCCTATGAGGTTTTGATAACAGGGCTTGGAAAAGGGAATGGGAATCTCATTCAGCAAGAGGCTGGGTTTTCGGTCTTTCTGCAGAATGTCCAAAGGTTAAGAAATAGGGTGTGCAGCAATAGACATTAGGTTTTCATAAATCTGTTGTTCATCGTTCTCCAATTCGAATCACTACAGAATCACCAAACTTTGGAACTCGAAAGATGAAGATCCAGGATTCATATGAGTTGAAATTTCATGAATATTGTACCATTTTCATTATGGTTAACACAGTATTTCTGTCATACAGGCATTACTCATTCGTCCTTGCTATTCGTCTCATAGACTTAAGTAAATGCCAAGAATGCATCAGCCTAGCTGTTGAACATTTTTTGCCAGATGACATCTAGCATGGACAATGTAACTTAAAAATGAGATGCTCAAGCTTAACAATAAGAGACCAACTATATTTCAACCATTTTTTCATTGATATTACTTACACGGACTCGGGACTTCCAGACAGAGCTACAGAAGTACTGACTCAGAAATAGAGATGCAAACAGTTATCATTTTATGTTCGGCCAGGTAAACACAAAAAGAAACAAATTCCATTTTTCTGTAGTAATTGGGAAGCAATCTAAAACCATGATCCTTAACCATAAGCTCTGAGCCAACACACCTTGCCGTTTCATGTTTGCATCTGAAACTTTTTCCTGACACCATGAGCTCCATCACTCCATACCAACTTAGTCTGGTTTCCACTATCTTTCGTTGCAAAAGATAGTGTCTGCAGTTGATTGAGTGGATAAATAAAAGACTCAGTATGAAACTGTCAATGCTTCGATGATAGGAATACCATCTATGCATATGATTTATAATACAAGAAAAAAAAGACTCTCAAGATGCCAAAAAAGATGCTAGACAAACCTGTCTTGCTCTTTTATCAATAGGTGTCCACTCGGTAAGAGGAGGAGCTGAAATTGTTTCATTCTTTGATGAGCTTGATGATTGTAAAGGTCGCTTCTGCCTCTTTTTTCCTGGGAACTTTCTTGGAGTGTTGCCACCTTGGTACTTGTAAAAATCAAGAATAGACGGACTTCTTCTCTTGGTAACCTTTGATACATTCCCTGGATAACCCAGACTAGGGCCAGATAAGTCACCAGGAAGCGACTGCTGACGCAACCTGCTCTTTTCCTTGATTCTGTTCAGAAACTCTATTGTCCAGGGAGTATTTTTCTGTGAACTGCCTGAACGGAGAGCTTTTGAGAGTGGTGTTCCTCCATAATGTGATATATCATTTCCGTAGAGATGTAGCCCTTGTGTTCCTCCATAGGGTGATATATCATTTTCATGGAAATGTAGCCCTTGAGATTTCCCCCCAGACCTCTTCATGAAAGCCTCCTCTAAGGGCTTGTTACGGTTTGTTAAGGGAAAAACATCATATTCGAGATTTGTATCTGAGTAATTGTTGGCTCCAACTTGCGAAATTTTTCCCAGGTTTTCTGCAGAACGCCAAACAGTTGGAGTTGAGTTGATTTCAGCAGCTGTTGGGAAAGTACGGTGACTACTTGAACCAAATGACAATTTTCTTGCAGCTTTAGACTTCCTTGTGGAATCCATGTCCAACTCAGGCATCTGAGATGAGAATTTCATAGAGTTGCCAATAAAAGAAAAGTCCTCATCTAATACAGGACTACCTTTTAGGTCAACAACTTCTCCTTTTAGGTCCTCATGCAGAACCTCAGAATTCTTGTTATAGAAATCAAAATTCTTCATGATAGGCGTATCTGATCCTCGTTTCTGACCTGACAGCTTATCCTTCAACGATGAACGGGACCTTTTTATCTCATTTAATACCTGAGGCCCTTTGGAGATTTGAGAATCATATGGCTCGAAAACCTTAAAAGGATTCATCATCATATCCATATCTAAACCCACTTCTTGATCAAACAAGTCATTCTGAGAGAACCTAGACTTTCTGAACTCATCAATTATTTTGGGGCTTTTTGACATACATGAATCAGCTAACTTGGAAGCTGTAGAAGGATTCAAGATGTCGGTACTGAATTGGTTCAACGGCTCCAGGTGCAAGAATTCATCCGTTTGTAACTCATATTTGTCAGGACTACCATTGTATTTTCGTTTCTTTCTTTCCAAAACAAGATTCCGATTATATCTTCCCGAGTCCGGACCTGAAGACACTGAAGAGGAGCAGTCCGTCATAATTGATTTAGAATCTGCCGGTTCACCATATTTGCATAAAGTACTAAATAGTGTGATACTTTCATCAGGAACATGATATTTTTGGATTACACTCATCCTGGTTTCATGGGACGATTCAAGAAACACTTTGAGCAAGCCTCCTGAAGACAGTATTGCATGAGCTGTCAAAGCATTTACTGAAGGAAATCTGGTAAGGAATGATTCTGCAAGACTTTCCGACTCAGGCATTCGAGGATATATAAACCTATTCGACTTTGTGGCATGTCCCATGCAGCTCAATATAATTTCATCAGTCAACTCAGATGAATATGAGTTGAAAAGCTGCAAATCAATTCCCAGGCCCGCTGCTGCAGCATAAAGTCCATCTGAGTACTCCATTACAGTGGAGAGGAAGCTGTTTTCTCCCTCAAAGATCTGTTGAAAGAGAAACACTAGAATAATAAGTTATATCAGTTCAGTGTGGAAAACGCAAACAAAGAAAGTTAAAAACTACGAAAAATAGTTTCGGTAACTACCATAAAGCAGCCACTGAAAGTGAAACTCAGCAACGTCAAAACATTTGTGGCAATGTTCTCAATGCACAAAGGTAAGCATGAAGAAGCTTCATCAAGAGTGGTTGCTTTCTTTCCAATGTTTTTGCAGTCATACCACACTAAACAAATTGCAGAACTGATTATGATATCCACAGGTAAATCTGAATCACGTTCTACTACTTGTACCCCTTCTTTCTCCATTGCAAGAATTTTTTGGTAGGTACTTCTTCTAGATACTATCATTTCCTTATCAAGATTTTGAGTGTTTACAACAATGACCATCTCAGGGAAAGAGACCATGCTCTGCTGAAAACGCTCAGCTTCCACTGCAGATGGCACAGAAAGATTAGGTAGGGGCATACTGCTAGCTTCTACTTCATCTGCACCTTCTTTATAACTCATATCACTCTTTTCCTGACCAGGAAAAATGTCCGAGAGTTTCTCTGACTGCTGATCATTCATATTCTCAACTGGAGCAGATATAGAATAGGACTGCTCTCCCTGGGCATACATCTGGTGTTAGCATATTTGAATAGAAAGGTAATTGAGTTGGAATTTATAAGCTATCCATAAATGAAACAAATAAACAATGAGATTAATGAGGGAGGGATAAATTCAAATAATTAACGGTTAAACCTTTGGAAATGTAGCATTAGCAACTGTGGTAACTGCACAATTACTATTTCCACCTGTAGAGGCCTTCTGGGGATTCAAGAAAAAGCCGATATCATTGAATTGTGACATAGACTTGAAAAGTGATGAAGCCCTCTCAGCGCCTCTTTTATCAATATGCTCTCCAATTTTTTTCTGTGGAAAAGCGCCGCCTGACAATTTGCCTGAAGTATCTCCAAGATGACCAGCAAGCATAGGAATGCCATCAGAGGGCAACTCCTGTAATTCTTTGTTTTCTTCTGTATTAAACTCATCTACTGCAGCATCGGAGAAAGCAAAATCATACACCAGCTTTCCATCATCATAAGAGTCCCAATCAAAACAGGTGCTCAGTGAATTTGTATCCTCCAAGATTTTCTGATGGGAGAAAGAAATTTGACAGTTGCATTTGTCTTTCTCGAGAAAATGCCAATCCAAGTAAATCCTATCTGATGCAGATAGGGGTAGCGGCTGTAAGTTAGTTAGTGTTTCCTCCATAACAACATATGAAGAACATATCTTTTCATGATCAGAGAGAACAGGCACAGGCAATGATTTAAATGTGTCATCGACAAGGGCTAGCTCATGACTAACAATCAAAGTATTGAAGTTTATGTGTCCATGAAACATCCAGTCACAAGTTTCTGGTTCATTTGGTGTTAGGGTACTAATGAGGACTTCAAAATGCTGAGATGAGTTCAAATCAAGAATCTGAAATTCTTCAAAAACAACCGGGCTTACAGACTGGAAACAAGCACCCGTGGATGTCCCTTGATATGTGATGTTTCCCTGAATCTGTGGCATTTCCACCATGCTTAATAAATCCATTTCAGGGGTAATCTCAAGAGACCCGAGATCAGATCGAAGATCTAAAAGACCCTCCAAGATCCCGTATTCCCTTGTACCCAAAAGCTCCTTGCCATTCAGGTTATCTTTTTTATCCCCATGCTGGGGCTCAATTTTTTCATAAACAGAAGAAAGTTCATCCTCTACAGACAAACCTGTCAAAGTTGGCAGAGTTATCTCATTTACTTCCAATAAAGGGAAATTCTGATAGAAGTGCATTTGGTCCTTGTAAGAACAATCATCTTCAAACATATAAGCCTTTTGATCCATGGAATACTCTGAATGAAAGTCTTCAACTGTATGAACTGACTCATGAACTTCCCAAGGAAACTCCAGTGTACGATTAAGCATTTCCTGAAAGGAATACAGCACCACATTAACAGCCCTTAGACAAACTTAATATCAGTAACTTGTTAACAAAAGTAAACAATAATGCACAGTAAACTTGTTATAATACATGCACACCAAATTCAAAATTAGTCAATCCAACCCCTTCCATACCTATAGTGATTCTAAGATCCGCCCTATCAAATGTCTATCCAGAGAATGACATAAGTTAAAAACCTCAGAATCACTATCTAATATGATAACCAACAAAAAAAAAAAAAAAAACTACGGTTATTATTATTACAATGTTCACCATTAAAATTAATAACACATATAAGGACAAGTCATCCGGAGGTTGAGAAGTGCCAATGTTAATTGAAATCATGCGTCAACTAATTAGAAAGACCAAAGCAAATTATAACTGAATCGTAAATTTATAAGAAACTTACTAAATTATTCTCAGCCTCTGGAACTTCTGAAAGAAACAGGAGCCCCTCTTTCTCATAAATGTAAGCATTTTCCTGCAGATAAGAGACAAGGTATTATGGATGCAGAACCAAATTGTATATTAGCAACTGATTAGTGGACATTCATTTTACCACGAATACATCCAACTCTGGTGTTTCAAAGCGGAGGATTTCATATGGGTGTGCATCTTTCTCTGCATCTCTTCTGCCATTATCCTTCTACAGTAACATAAGTTTGACTACTCAGTTCTCAGACAAGAACAAACATGATAAGGCTCTTATGATATGAGAATTCCATAGGCATACTTTTCGAAAGTCAGTCCCATGAGTCTTGGAACCAAAAGTTATCTGATCCTCCGATCCCTTCTCTTCTTTAAGATCCTCGGCTTTCTGCTGCAGGTCATCACAAACAAATATATTTTGCGAATAACAATAATCACAGTTTTCACAGATACTTTTGAATTACTTTAAAATGTAATTACTATAACTACTTAACATATAAGTTCAGTTTCAGAATTCGTAAACTTCTATCAACTTTGACATCAAAGTAAGACCCTGTGCAGTTAAATAAAAGAGAAATTACAGGCTTCATACAATTCACCGCCCTCATTTCAGATTTTCGAACATGAACCTAAGACTAAAATAAATAAAACAAAATACCTACTTAGTTTCTCATTTTCCAGAGTCTCCATATACTACATAGCGGAAAATCGAACTTATAAGAACAGTCTGTAGCAGGAGCAAAGATAAATTACTAAAAACAATAATTATTAAATATCTTTGTTTCCTAAATACTAATGTCAGCAACCGAAATCTATCATTGATCGCTAGTTTAGTTATTTTCCTTTTTCTTTTAAACTTAATTAGTTAATATTAAATTTCAAATTACGTTGAATAAGTAAGAAATATAATAACAATTCACGACAATTCTGGATTTAATTTTATTCTGATACATGATACGCTATTAGCCAAACAAAACCTATAACTACATTGAACGATAAAACTCAGTAATCTATTTTTCTTTCAACAATAACCAACGCAATAATGCGGTAATTCAACTTCAATCCAAATTAAGTTACAAAATCAACTGCATTACGGATAATCAACAAATTCCGAAGCCGATTCAGCACATTACCTCCCAAAACTGCAGCTCACGGCTTCCGGAACCGAAACTTCTAGAACTCGGAGACGAATCGCCGGCCTCGAAGTCCGCAACACTGATAACGATCTTCTGAGGAAGAACATCGGAGAAGAACTTGGAGAGAGCGGCTCCGATCGGCAATTGCTCGATTTGGAGCGAGACTTCGAGTTCGGAGTCGAAGCGGGGGAGTTGGAGGCCGTCGAAGGCGGTGGAGAGATTGGAGGGAGGGAGGTGAGGGATCGGAAGGTGGAGGAAGGTTGTGGATTCCGGGGTTTGGGTTGGAGTGGCGGTGAAGTAGTCGATGTTGAGGTAGCGAGTTCGCATTTCAGCTTCAGAATTTTGAGACGCAACGGACTGTTTTGGTTTCAGAGGAATTCACAATTTGGCGCTTTAAATTTCGGCCGTTTTATTGATACGGATAGGGTCGTTTGTGCTAAAATGCGCCGGGTGTGTACTATGCACTAGAATGCGGAAACTATATCTTGCGTTGGATGGATAATGTAATAATTCGGTCTTCGCATCCAACGGCATGCATGTAATCACGATTAAGATTATGAATTGAGGTGCTTAAATCTCCATTTTTGTTTTTGTCAAAAAAAATAAAATAAAATAAAATAAACCACATGTGGCTTCACCACGCCAGTTTTCAATCCGGAGGTCGGAAAGACTCATAAAGGTATTTCAGCCTTCTCTGGACACTATCGTGCGATACATCAGTGCCAAAAATTGAACTTATGACGTATCGTATGAAATACGAACCTGGAATGTCCCGAACCACTGGGCCACTCCGTGGTGGTTAAAACTCCATTATGAACTTATTGATTTTAGTTTTCTATTTTTTGTACATTAAAAAGTTTTGAACTCTAGATTCTTAAATTGAAGCGATTATTCTAATTGACAAATACGCTACTTGCGCTTTAATTAACTATTCACTCTATGGCTTCGTTGCTATGGAAACTCTCTTAAAATTGAGATTCTTCATGGACTTTCCGCCACCTTTGATTTTTGTCATAATATTTTATGATCTAGGCAAAAATTGTGCCAAAAAGACAGATGTGGTACGGAGTCTATCGAGGGTCTTATTTTGAGAGAGTCTCATTAATATTTCTCTTTCATATTCTTTAAAGATAAACCTCAATCTTGTACATGTGTCTATAGAGTGATTTTGATTACTTTCACCTGAAATTAGATGTGGTAAACTATTTTTGCAGGATGACCGATTGGAGGGGCCACGTTGTTTACGATTATTCTATAAGTGTGGGTTCTTCATCTAGCGGTTGAAAAATGTAAACTTAAGGTTTGCTCAAACATTATATGTAGAGGAGCAACTTCAGTTTTGTAAAGTTTGTAATTTTACAACTTTGTCTATATTTTAATTGGGTAGTTGTATGTTGTTCTTCTCTATCAAGTAAGAGCATTTTAAGAATATTCAAACGTTTCACTTTTTGTGTGCTCCCTTTATGCATAAAGATATAGGTGGTTTTGTTTGCACTTCTTATGACACATGCCAGTTACCTTCAAGGTAGATTTTCTGTAAACTAGCATGTCATCAAGATACTACCTTTTTTTTGGTCAATCAAGATGCTACTTTGTAATCGAACTTTCAATAGTCTGACCAACATGGATGATGACACATCGATAGTCGATAGTGCATCGCTTGGTCGACATGGTGATTATTTGTATCGCTTGGTCGACATACCAAGTCATTATTTGTATCGCTTGGTCGACATACCAAGTCATCATTTGTGTCGCTTGGTCGACATACCAAGTCATCATTTGCAGCGTTTAGGTGTCAGGTGCAGGTGTGTCCATACCAACCATATATACAAACCTTTTGCTTTCTCCAGACTCGAGCTAAACAGGGGAAATTTTTTATTATGACAGAAATCAAAGTGATACATCACGTGTTTTAATAGAAATGGTAAAAAAATTTATTTTTTAAGTTATTAACTTTTTAGCATACATATCCCATCATTTGCATAATGATATGTGGTGTACCATTCCGTGTACCGATCACACTAAAAAATCTTTTCTAATCAGAATGTATTGATTGGTGTACCCGTGTTCAATGATCATGTCCGTACCTAAAAAATCTCCCGCAGAGCAAACTGCATGATATTATCCGCACAAAACCAGCTAGCGCTGCCCGAATGCCACGTATAGCGGATGGTGCTACGTGGCAGAAAACTAGAAGCTGGACGGTTATTATCCCACGTGTCTCGTTCCGGGCGACAGAGTCATGCCAAGGTGGCAGAAGAAGCCTCTGTGTTTCCTGTTAAAGCTAGTCCCTATAAACCTCCATTTTCACTCGTTTGTTTTGCACAGCACTGATCTTTTCTGCAAACCTAAAAGGGCAAATCACAAAGCAGTTTTTTTACTCGCAGTTAATTAGTGAAGTTTCACTGATTTGAATCATGGAATCGCAACACGTCGGGACGCACCAAGGTAAAAAACGAGAAACCTCATTTTACTTGGTGTACTTCAAATACTTAATTAACAACGGTGTTAGTTTTTCAATTTTGTTAATTTATTTGTTAATTTGTATATATGAAGGCGAGGAGGAGGACCACCAGGAGAAGTCGGTTTTCAAGATGGTAAGGGACAAGGCGAAGAAGATAAAGAACAAGCTCACAAAGCATGGTCAAGGCCATGAACACGAGGAAGATGGTGAAGATGGTGAAGAAAAAGGAGAAGACCTTGGAGTGCATGGTGCAACAAGTATGTTGTTTCAATTCACTTATTTTCATCTTAATGATTTAGGGCATAGTTATGTCAGTTGGTAGTTGGTAGTTGGTTAGAGGTCGGTTGGTTGCTGGCATCGATCTAACTTGGCTATGATTTATTCTTTTGGGACACAAACGTGATTAAATGTGTGAATATGATGTGCAGCAACTGGAAGCCGTGCTACGGGGCAAGGAGACATTCCGAAGGTACCAGTGGAAAAATTTGGAGACACGAAAGGAGCAGCGAAGCACGATGACGATCCCAAAGTGCCGCATTTGGAGAAGACTGATCCGATGAAGGATTGCGCACCCGCTTCAGGTCAACGCACTAGGCAAACTCATTCCGTTCAGCCAGGAGTGACACCCATGCACGACAAGGTACTCGAGCCTAGGCCAAATTACCATGCCTCGACGACGGAGTCTCTCGTTGGGCATGATCAAATTCCAAGCCAGAAGCCCAAAGTTGATTTCGGGAAGACGTCTGTAACGGGGGAAGCACCTAATGCCCCACAGAACACTCCTCTGCCTTCCTTGGGAGAGTACAAGTCCAAGGGTGCTGACCCAAGTCAAACTTTCATTTCTGGGAAAGAAGGGCATTTAGGTCAATCTAAGGAGCACACCCCTGTTTCTTCCCTTGGAGGAGATGACCAGAAAACCAATGTCGCTGACACAAGGCAGACTTCTGTTACTGGGAAAGAAGGGCATTCAGGTCAAACCAGGGTCCCTTTGCACCACCGGGGATTGGACGATCGCGCCCCTATTTCCTCTCGTGGAGACTACCAGAAGACCAATGTTACAGACCCAAGTCATACTTCTGCTACCGGAAACGAAGGGCATTTCGGGCAGTCCGAGGTAAACTTGGACCGACCAAGAGGATTGGAGGAGGATCCAAATGCTCGTATGGCCGACCCTCGGGCGTTTACTCCTTCAAATGATCAGACTAAAGTTACTGATCCTACTAATGCTGGTAAACCATAACGCACAATTTTTTTGCCTTAAATTATAAGTTACTTACATTTTTTTTGCTACGAATAAGTAAACTGTAACATGCAACAGGTGGCGATGAATTTGGAATTACGCAGACTCACCGCTCGTTTGATAAGATGAGCATCCATGCGGGAGATACCAAGCCGTCGAACCAGGGCAGTAGTTACACCGAGAAAGCTTCATCTGCCGCATCCACCATTGCTGGCAAGGCGACATCTGCGAAAAATGCTGTGGCTTCCACGTTAGGATATGGCGGAGGGAACAATGATCAACGTGAAGATGTTAATCCTTATGCTTCTTCTCCAGAAAATGATTCAACTAAATCAGGTAACTAACAGATATGTTCTTAAGATATATAACATGCGAATATGTATAATACAATGCGGATATATTGTCAATATGTAGTTAATATGGTTATAACTGATATGTTGTTGATATAGGATTACACCATGATGTTGGAACAAATCAAAACTTGGGCACTGGAAGCCATGATCAATTTTCTCCTGAGCACCCACCGAACCAGGGCGGTAGTTACGCCGTTGCCGACAAGGCAATATCTGCTAAAAATGCCGTCGCTTCCAAGCTTGGATATGGAGGCGGGAACAATGATCAGCACGAATTTGTTAAGCCTCAGGCTTCCAGTTATCAAACTTCAGGTAACTACGGGAATAGTATACGTTTAGTAATGACCCTTCTGAAAAGCTGGATATGTTATCGATATTAAAACACGCGGTGCACCACTTGTGTTCCCATAAGAATGAAAATTTTCTCTAATTGTTCATGTTTCGACGTTACAGTCGTCTATATGTAGTCGATACGTTTATATGTTATCACATTTAGTCTAGTAATAACATTACACATTCATCCAGGAACAGGACAAAATCTGAGCTCTCCTGAGAATCCATCAAACCAGGGGAGCTATGCTGGGAAAATATCATCAGCCACTAATGCTATTGCCGATGCAGCAATTTCTGCGAAAAACGTCGTCGCTTCCAAGCTAGGATATGGTGGCGACACTGACCAACAGCAACATGGAGATCACGCAGCCGTTGGGTCCGGATCAGCTGCACCTGAGCAACAGGGTAAGGGCATTACAGCCGCAGTTACTGAGAAGCCGACACCTGTCTCTGAGAAGGTTGCCGGGGCAGGGAGCACCCTGATGTCGAAGCTCCCTGGCAGTACAGGGACGGCGGGCAAAGAAGAAGTCCACCAGGGTACTGCTACTACCCGGGGTGAGTATGACAAAGCCGGGAAGGACAAAGGAGTTTCTGTGAAGGGCTATTTGTCTGAGAAGTTGAAGCCCGGTGAGGAGGACAGGGCGCCTTCTGAGGTCGTATCGGAAACCCTGCATGAGCGTAAGGCCGAGCAGCCTCGGAGTGGTGCTCGGCCTGTCGGGAAAGTGACCGAGACCGAGGAGGTGACTCGGCAGTTGGGGCCGGATTATGGGGCTGAGGATGTCCAGCAGTCTGGCTATGGGAAGGTTGTGGCGGATACGCTTAAAGGGGCTGTTGGTTCGTTGTTTGGGAAAGCTGATCAAACCACTGCTTCTCCAGAGTCCCGTGGTTCTTCAACTGGTAAAAACTCGATAGTATTTTGCTAATCAGAATTTGTACTCGGCTAATTCGAATTTGACCAATTATTTTCTTTTTTGGATGGCAGGTACAGAGGGTTTCTCTAGTTCTGGCAGTGGAGTGGCGGAGCAACGAGGTCGCGGCGGTGTGGAGAAGCGGAGACTTGACGAGTCCGGGAAGTGATGGTCGTGGATGGAAGGAAGTTGGTGAATAAATTGGGTTTTTACTTCGTTTAATTTGTTTTGTTTTGTACTTGGAGAAAATGTTGTGGGTTGTGGAGTGATAAGTGTGACTTTGTGATTTCGAATGTTGCTTCATATGTTGAAGTCTCATGATGTATGTAATGGATTAGAAAACAGAGACACTCTGTTTCAGTTCCAAGCAGGGGATTTTATGATTTTATCTACGTGCACTTACTGTTGATCTCGGCGTTTTAATTAGATTATTCATGCGTTGATCAATTTTTGTGATGGAATAATTAGCATTAAGCACAAATACACTAATCTTAAGTAAGAATCAGATGCATCAAATTGAAGTTGCTAACAAATTTTGGGTTACTTTGTTCTTGATGAGAGGAAGAAGTAGGGATGGTAACGGTTCGGTTTGGAGACGGAAATATTATATCCATTCTCATAACTATGAAAATTAACCATATATATAGCCGTAAATTAACCATTAAGTATAATCCATAACTATACTCATCGGGTAACGGATTCCTCATTGGTTAACTAGTATATCCATCTTTGTCAATACAAAAAATATATTTGTTCAATTGAGATATTTTAAGTTAGTAGATATTAATTTTCTTATTAAACATTTGATGTATAAAATGATCCAATGAATAAATCAATCTTGTTGAGTATAAATATTGAAACACTGATGATGTTGGTTTGTCTTTGACGTCTCTCATAACCATTGAGTTTGCATTGATTTTGATTCAAAATTTTACTTTCCTACAAAATCCAACTTTTTTATGCTCAAGGCAATGATTTGGAGAATAATAGATATACAAATACATACATACATATATATATATATATATATTATACTATTATATTATATATAAATTATATTATTTACTGTTCAGGTCGGATTCGGTTACGTATACAATTTGGAGACCCTTATAATCATATTCAAAATCATAACCGAATAATATAAACGGTTTTTTTCGGGAATTATTTTTGGTGTAACAAATGTGGAAGGCAGAGGCACCGACACTATATAATTAATGGAGCCAGTGCTCAAATAAGAGATAGGGTTAGGGTTTCAAATGATTGCTGCGACTTGTCTCTACGGGACTTCTGATTACATTTTTGTGTTCTAGTCCTAAGCTAGTAGGGTTCATATCTAATCTAATACAAAAGGGAGAATTTATCAAATATAGCCAAATATTAGACTTTAATTTCAAAAATGTCAGTTTTTATGAAAACTTTCAAATATATCAAAAATATCATTTAAATAGACACAAATACCCTTAATTCATACAAATAACTAGTTGTTGATTAAAATATTCTTGTGCCATAATCAAGTGGTGCTTTCACTAATTTTTCTAATATGCACCCGAAGATTTTCTATTCTATAAACCTTAAAATATGTTTTTTGCACTTTCTAAGAACACAACAAATCTCTCAATTCACTACCACAGTCAATGATAATCTTCAAAAACAAAATCCGGGCACAGACAACACCCTTAATAATGCAAAGGTGGAAAATTAAATACGAAGCACATATAATCCAAAGGAAAATTGAGATAAATAATGTTATAAAAATTGACAGTTCATTCTTCCATAAATATTCAATCGAAGGAAGAAACTACAAAAGCAAAGAGAAAACGTAGACGAGGAAAAGTGCAAAAAATTAACCATCTACACTCATCTTCGTTTAGGGATGCACAATTCTTCACCAATAGTTGATGCCTTCAATAGGTCTCCTCCAATTTTAAGGTTTAGCTATGAGAACCCTTCATCTAACAAGGTTTTGGTTTTTTAATTTTTTTAGCTTTAAAGTTTAAGGGCATTTGTGTCTATTTAAGTGATATTTTAGGTATATTTAAAAGTTTTTTATAAAAACTGACATTTTTTAAATTAGGGGCTAATATTTGGCTATATTTAATAAATACTCATTATTGGCTGTCCTCTCTATATTTATCCTCACCTGACGTCTATATCTCGAGAGAAATATGTCCTTGTTGTATGTTAATCTCCTAAACACACTGTTTGATGTTAATTTTAAATAATATATCTTGGATTGTATGCTACTAGAAATTTCCTGAATATACAATTTTGAACGAGACTTGGCTGCTGAAGATTCAGCAACACCTCCTGCTGCCAACCAATCACAGCTAGACACGTGTCCAAGTTGTGAATTTTTTAATCACAACTTGGACACGTGTCCAGCCGTGTTGGTTGGCAGCAGGAGGTGCTGCTGAATCTTTCAGCAGCCAAGTCTTTTCCTACGATTTTATGCTTCAATTTGAACACATTAATTATTCTCATAATTGCACTAGAAAGTTATATCACATCAAAATCACAACCACATTGACATCTAGGCAAGCTGTACGCAGAATGTAGACGCCAAATGCGATCAAACTATCAATTTTGTTGGAGTTGTGAGGGTTGAGTTTTATTAACAGCCCTAAAGATTTAGGGGTATGACTGATATTCTAAAGGGTTATTATACAAAATAGTCCATGAGATTTGCATAATCAATAGAAATGGTCCTTGAGATTGAAAATTAATAGAAATGGTCTCTGAAATTGTCCACCATGCATGATTTTGGTTCTTCTGTTAAAAACGATTTTGGGCAATTTTCAAAGTTTTGTAACTCAATCGTTTCTTAACCAAATTTGACCCATAATATATCAAAATAAAGATAGGAAAGTGTAGAATAAGATTATACCTATTTGGAAGCCCAATGGTTGCCTGAGGTGGCCGGAAAATAGCCTGAAAAGTGACTGGTCCGCAGGAAAACTGGAAAACTCGTCGGAAACTGGGTAAACTTTAAACGTTCATAACTTCTTCAATACTCAACCAAATCGATCGATTCAAAAACAAAAATAATACTTCTTGATGAGATGAAGAGAATGGTACCTTTTTCGAAGGCTAAATCGCCATGGTTTGGTTAGACAACAGCTCGAAAATGGCTAACCATTTTTGAGTTAGCCATTTTCGAGCAGTTTTCGGGGCAAACGACGATGAATTAGTAGTAAAGAAAGATATCATTCTCTTCATCTCGTCGAGAAGTATAATTTTTGTTTGTGAATCACTCGATTTTGTTGAGTATTGAAGAAGTGATGAACTTTGAAGTTTACCCAGTTTCCAGCGAATTTTCCAGTTTTCCCTCGAACCAGTCTCCTTTCAGGCTATTTTCCGGCCATCTCCGGCAATCATTGGGCTTCCGAATAGTTATAATCTTATTCTACACTTTCTTATCTTCATTTTGATATATTATGGGTCGAATTTGGTTAAGAATCGATTGAGTTACAAAGCTTTGAAAATTTCCCAAAGAATTTTTAACGGAAGAACCAAAATCATGGATGGTAGACAATCTCAAGGACCATTTCTATTGATTTTCAATCTCAGAGATCATTTCTATTGATCATGCAAATCTCAGGGATCATTTTGTATAATAACCCTATTCTAAAACATTGTTTTCATGTTTTTGGGCTGAGCTTTAGTTGTTTTCATGTTTTTGTCTTTTATTGACATGTTTAAAAACTAATAGAGTTACTTGAAATATAGTGAAAGTTTTTAGGGTAAAGTACAAAAAAGTACCTCAACTATTGGTGTCACGACACTTTCATACCTCATCTTTTAAAATTGACAATGTCATACCTCATCTTATGAATTTGTGCCAATGTCAGACCTCCGTCAGTTTTTCTGTTACTTTTTCTATTAAATGCTGACATGGCCAGAGACGGGACCCATTTTTTATTAAAACATTAATTAAATGGTTAAAAAAATTAATTAAATATTAAAAACAAAAAAAAACAAAAAAAATTAAAAACACAAAAAAGAACCTATCAACCTGTGTCCCCCCTCCCCAAAAACCCAGATCCACTTGTCTGAGTTCTCTCCCACCCAACCCTCTCTCTCCTCTCTCTCTCTCTTTCTCTCGCCTCTCTCTCTTCTCTCTCCCTGCAACCTGCATCCCTAAAATCCCAAAACCTAGAAATCATTCCCACTCGTCCCCCCAACCTTCCTCTCCAATCCCACCGACGACAACCCTACCTCTGTCGTTGACTCCAGCGATGACGGCCATGACCCCCAATCGCCCCCAAACCCTAACTCTAGCCACAACCTCCACAACAACATTCCTTTCTCCTCCTCGCCCTCGGAGTCTGTCCCTCCGGCGATTTGCGAGAGAAAAACAAAAGAATAACAACAACAACAATCCCAATAGAAAAACTTTCCATTTTTCCCAAAAAATTTCGAGATTTTTCGAGAAATTCAGAGGAGGCGTGAGAAACAGAAAGAGAGTTGTGATCTGAGAGTGGCTCTCTTTGGTCTGAGTTTCTGATAAATGATGTATATAGGCGAGTCAGATGAGGAGGAGAGAGTGGATGTGAAGTCCATGGCAATGGGTTTTGAGAGGGCGAAGCCTCTTTACAATTTCGACTTGCCGTGGTATTTGAAGTGGGGGAACCAGAAGCACCTGTGGTGCTAGAATTAGAGCTCCGATGCCAGCGTGAGTGGCGATGAATGGTCTAGGGTGAATCGGCGATCATCGGGTCAGACGACTAAGAGCTCGCCGACGGTGTTTCTAGGTTTTGGGATTTTAGGGATGCAGGTTGTAGGGAAAAAGAAGAGAAAGAGGAGAGAGAGAGAGAGAGAGAAGATAGAGGGTTGGGTGAGGGAGAACTCCGAGAAGGGGATCTGGGTTTTTGGGGAGGGGGATGTAGACACCGAAATTTCAGTGAAATAAATGTTAACCAATGTATTAAAATTACAACATTTATTCATTTCACTTACATCACACATTCATTTCACCTACATTACACATCTACTTCACCTACCAACTCCACTCACTTCACCAAAAATGGATGGTGGTGATTCACTCTCTTAGCCTATAAATAGCCTTCTCCATCAAGAGGAAAGGGGAGGAATTTATATACACACCAAAACCTTGAAGCCTTGAAACTCTAAAGCTCTCAAGAAAATCCCGAAGGATCAAGAAAGCACTCTTCGTTCTTCGTCAAATCCTCCTTCGAGATCAAGCCCCAACGGCCCTTGAAGAACTTCCACCAATTCAAGATCAAGCCCCAACGACCCCTTGAAGAAAGTGTTCATCACTCATCATCCGTTCATCCTAAGATCAAGTCCCAACGGCCCTTTGGATCAACAACCTCAACAAACCCATACACCCATTCTTCAAGATCAAGCCCAACGCCCCTTGAAGATCCATTCATCAACTGTTCATCCCTAGATCAAGCCCCGACGACCCTTTGGATCAACAGCTCATCCACAAACCTACATCATACGAAGATAGAATCAGAGGATCAAATTACAAAGAGATTGTAACCCAAAATCATTATTAATACAAAAATATATTTTGAACACATATTCTTGTTTCTTGTTTCAGGAATTTTTCGTGTTTACAGAGGACACGAGTTGATGGGTTTTTTTTTTTTTTTTTTTCTTTTAATCTTTTTAATATTTAATTATTATTTTTAAATATTTAATTATTATTTTTATAAAAATGGGTCCCGTTTCTAGCCACGTCAGCATTTAACAGAAAAAGTAACAAAAAAACTGACGGAGGTCTGACATTGGCACAAATTCATAAGATGATGTATGACATTGTTAATTTTAAAAGATGAGATATGAAAGTGTCGTGACACCAATAGTTGAGGTAGTTTTTTGTACTTTACCCAAGTTTTTATCTCTATATATAAAGCTCCATAATTTAAATTTAGTGCCAAAATTGCCTTTAATTTACTTTATTTATTTATTTTTACTATTACATATCTAACAAAATAATTGATTTCATTTCACTTGGCTTGGATTACATCGGAAATTTTGACTACCTGGGATTTAACTTTTTCAATATAATCAATTGGGATGTTGATTTTTGATTGGTCATTGGGAGTTCATTCTTAACTGCTGAGGTTATAGTTCAGTCAGTCAGTGATAAATAGAAAAATGTGTTATAATTTGAATGAACATTAATGTCATGTGATCCTACTCACCAAAATATCACTCTTTTAACGCACAAAACCCACAAATCCAATTATTAACTAGTGATCGACAAAAAAAAAAAAAAAAAAAAAAAAAAAAAACCTTATTAACTAGTGGATTTTATCCATTATATCGATTGTTACTAGAATTATGAGATCGTTCTTATATAATAGATTTTTTAGTGAGCCGTAAACAAGAATTTTGCAGTTTTTCATATGACCAGATTGGAGTTGACTTCAAACATTAGCCGAAAAAGGGAAATTATTCATTCTTACATTTCCAAGTTTAAAGATAAAGTAATACATAATCAAGACACACATCGGATCCAAACTAATAGCTAGCGTAGCTTACAACATGAGTTTATTTAGTAAAGATATCACTTAATCTTATGATTGAGAGGGACGGCCATCATCCCCCTCCTCATCGTTGATCTCTAGACACTCGTGGTCGTCTAACAGATCTTCATCAGTGACATCCTCCTGCTCGTCATCATATTTCTCGTTGAGCTTTCGAAGTTGGGCTATAATTTCCTTGATGGGCAAGTTAACATCAGTTTCAAAAGTTTGTTTCAACAGCATGTACTTGTCTGGTTGATGAATAGACACGTCTTCCAGAAGCCTTTCCACGTTATGCTTCACAAACGCTTTGAACAAGATTTTAGTACTATTTAAGGCAGAAAATGCCTGCTCGCTCAGACGTTTTCCTGTTTTGCAGAAAATCGCAAACGATTCGCAGTTGTTACTAAACAGCTTATAGTCTCCGAAACCCTCTTCCTTGTTGAGCAGTTCTGTGGCGTGAGCTATGACTTCGTCGGCTGAATTGGAACGACCCGTCGTGCAAGTTCCTGGAAATTTCAATAGGAAGTGAGCATAAGAGACTCCGTATCCGAAGCGGTAAAGCCGATGGCCGTGTAGGAAGCAGTCGACGCAAGTTTTGATCACTCCTCGTGCCATATCTGGGTGATGCCCGCAGTTTTTGCATTTAGTCTTCCGAAACATCCCTAATTTCTTTTTTGCAGCTTGTGTTCTGGTGTAGTGGATCACCCTATCTGCCTCCACGCATATTCCTGAATATGTATATAACCAAAAGCCAATCGCTAAATATGTATAAAATAAATTATTCTGAGAGATTAGGGGTGTGAGGTCAGATTTGGAAGTTAAAATTAGAGAAGCATTTCTTTAACAGCCAAAAATAGTTTTTAACTTCGTTTAACAGAAAAACTTAGAAATGTAATTTTGACTCGTAAAAATGCTTTAAAGGGAATTCATATACAAAATGCCTCTTCAAAAAGCATTTACGCTATTCCACAAAACACTTGAACTTTTGATAACAATTTTAACATATTTACATAGAGGCACTTAGAAACAATGACAAACATGCTCTTAATTACCGACCATGGTGGGAGTATGTGTGCAGCCCTCTATAGGTATAGACGTGATCTCCTGGCTTGATCTGGGACTTATCAACCTTGTTTGAGAACAGTCCCATCTCTCTCTCTCTCTCTCTCTCTCTCTCTGTGATGAGTTGATAAAGGGACGGATTAGATTAAGCTCCACTGGTTTGATAGACAGTACAAGATATACACACATATGGCCCGCATGCTTACAGATATTCAACGTCTGGTGACGCATGCTGTTACGAATCCCTAGTGACGTATGATGTTACGAATCCGCTCACGTATCATAACACATGTATATTAGTTTATAATGAGATTGAGGTTTCATCATAAAACCAATTGGTAATATGAGAAGTAGCCTAAGATCATATAAGCACATAGCAAACATGTGAGACAACTCTCAACACGCCCCTGCACGTGTGGCAGATTTTTAAGTCTACAAATGTACAACAACTGGATGCCGTGGAGCGCGTGTGGTCGTTGGGTTTCACACGTGAACAACCTGGCTCTGATACCATGATGAAATTAGGGTTCCACCATAAAACCAATTGGTAATATGAGAAGTAGCCCAAGATCATATAAGCACATAGCAAACATTGTCCCTCACCAATGTGGGACAACTCTCAACACGCCCTCGCACGTGTGGTGGATTTTCAAGCTTACACGTGGACAACAACTGGATGACGTGGAGCGCGTGTGGCCGTTGGGCTTCACATGTGGACAACCTTACTCTAATACCATGATGAGATTGAGGCTCCACCATAAAACCAATTGGCAATATGGGGAGTAGCCCAAGATAATATAAGCACATAGCAAATCTTGTCTCTCACCAATGCGGGATAACTCTCAACAGTTTATAGTATAGTTTAAATATAAACCCCTTGTGCATTCGTTTTATACTATGTATGAATAAGGGTTTGATTGATTAAGGCTGAGATTCAATGTATATATGGATAAGGGTTTGATTGATTAAGGCTGAGATTAAACGTAACAAAGCAACTCAGAAAGTATTGGATAAAACTCACGTTCGCAGCCTTCTATGACTTCAATTACATAGTGGTTTCGTGGAGTTAAAACGTGGCTGCAGCGGATTGGCTGAAGAGACTGGGATCGGCTTGTGGAAATGTGGTGGGTTGAGACCTTGGTTTCTCCTTTTGTTCTTACTAGAAAAAATGTACGCGGGTTGTTGCAGAACTTAAATGCATCAACCTTAATTACATAAATAATATAAATTTAACCTAAAAAAAATTCAACATAATCATGAACGAACAAAAAGGATAGACGAGTGAACGGTATCGATAAAATAAGCAATTCGACTTTTACATACATTCAACCGAGCTGATTACAAAAGATCAGTTGCAAAAAATTCTGTTTCCCTGAGAAACAGAAGCAACATGCATTTAACACTTATATTGCCCTTCAAGTGAAGATGACAAAATAGATATCCTGCAGGCCAGACACATGTTTTAACATCTAAACAAAAAGGCATGACTAATTTCCACAGAGAGTAACCAAAAAAGTGGCACGAACAGAATCACATCCTCAAATGTAGTGATGTAGATAACAAATATTTGATCTGAGTAAATCCAACAAAATCACCAATCAACATAGGAATCTTCAAATAATTTAAATAAGCAATAGATGGGTGAATTGGGCTGCTAAATTCAGCAACCTGGTTTTCATATAAATTCAATTCAGCTGACATAAAGATGAACTGTACAATTTAAATGAAGAACTTAAACATTTCAAATCACAAAAGTTGTATGTTTTGCACATAAATTAAGGTAACACAAAAAAATTAAGATCCCATTCCAACTAATAAATTCTCAGGACCAATTATTTAAGAAAACTTATGACCAGAAGTATCTTAAGTTTAACATTATAGAGCCAGTTATCGTTCACACCCATTATAACACCCTATACTCTACTTACACCCAACACATTATTCATTTTTTTTCTTCCCCCAACATGTGGTTCAACAACGGGAGAGTTCAAAGTTCGAACTAGGAACCCCTCTCCGCATTAACCAGCCATGTAACCTCCCATACTTTTGGACGTACATAACAGGGTCCGGCGCCAAAAAAGGGAGTTAAACATCATGCATCGTATTCACTATGACCCTAACTCATGTTACCACTTTTTAGAATTCTAGCCAAAATATAAAATATGTCCGATCACAATTTCTTTTAAAAATCAAATATTTAATTTTAACATTGTACTTTTGCACGGGGAAGTCACAATGATTTAGAGCATACATTTTACATTCTGAACTATAAAATTTGAGATCCAACATCTACATAATTAAGCCAAAAAAAAAAATCTGAGAATTCGAGAATTTGAAATTGACTCGCAGCAGCAACATATATGTTGTTCGGAAGCTCTTTTTTTAATTCACACTGAAATCCTCCATATATAAAATACAACAAAACATTACAAAATAAAATTACAAAATCAATAATATAATTCACTTTTAAGCTAGGATAATTCACATAGGAAAAAAAAAAAAAAAAAAGAATCAAGGATATATTGCACTCTAAAACTTGATCTGCTTGCTTCCATAAAAAGCTCATTTCAGATCGATGATCCCTTTCTCACCCTAATAACATTTACCAATTGCAATCAAAAAAAATTTCTTAATAAGGGGAAAGCTATAAGTGCAAGTAATAACCGTGGCACGAATAGGGGTCGTCACTATAACAGTGGTCGTGGAAATGGTCGCAACACTAATCGCACAACTTTTAACAGAAAAAATCACTCTCATGGGACACTCCTTGCTTATGCTGAATCGAGATTTTCTTGGTCTTCTTTTACCCTCGGGGAGGAAAGCTGCTCTTGCTTTTGTTCTCTTTGCTCTTTAGAAAAGGGTTTCTGTGAACAAGGAAGAAGGCACGTCTTTAGCTCCAGTGGTTGAAAAAAAAAAATCTCATAGGAGAGGAAAACCATTCTCATTCACCGTGGTGGGGTTTACCGCCACTGTCAAGAAGTGGTGATCTCGTCTTGCTTGCTGGGAGAGAGGAAGCTTCCAGACCGGAAAGTGAAGAAGTCAGATCTTCTCTCGCCGGGAAAAAAGTCTACCCTAAGAATCCTGCTCTTGGAGTTGCGGGCTTAGGGCTCGAATCATTCTCAGATGCCCCGAGAGGCATTCTTTCCTTGTTTGTTGGGTTGGTTCACGCGCGCGCGCAAACGAGCACCGGCCGCAACAGCAGGAAACTATGACCAATAGAGTCAGACACTTAGCTACATCCGCACGCAAAAGGAATGTGGTTGATGCTTCCTTTTTGCTTTAACAGTACTTCTGCTTAGAGAAAATGGGCCTAGTAAAGAAAATAAAAAAAGCCTACAAGATTGACTCATAACAGAAAGGATTACCCCCTATCGTGCTAATAAGAAAAAGAGGGCCTTATTAGTTATTCAAGTAATCAAGGTCAGTAAAGCGGGAAGAAATTAACCAAATCCCTTTAGTCTTTTCAATGGTACTTGAATCTTAAGTCGCGGTCATGTCTCGCCCCCCAGTATAGTGACCGGTTCCATGTTTCCCCCCGAATTTCATCAGTTCCAGGCTCAAGTGCCTGCTCATCCATCTTCATTCCAAAGGCGAACATTTCCTTGAGTGACTGTAAAAGAGCCTAGATTTGACCAGTGAACTCCAGCAGAGACGCAACCAAACATACTGGAGGGGCAAACACACTCGTCTTACTCCGGGTCAAATTCTTTACTTATCGCCAAGATAGAAACCTAGGAGCAGCCCATCTAATACATTCTAACAAGTCAGGTAAGAAGGTTAGCAGACGAAAGAGAAGAACACCGTTGCGGGTGAAGCCTTAGTTGTCGCTGGTGGTAGAGGAAAGGCTTTTAGTGGGCCAGTGAACGGTGAATCTTAGGAGATTGAAGATTGAGAAAGCTTTCTCGAGCAGGTAGAATTAGCAACTATAAATCAAAGAAAAAATGAATACATTTTGCTTTCTGTCCCCAGTGCGTGCCGGCTTCCCTAATCAGAATTCATCCCAATCTTTCTGAAGGAAGTGTTCGAGTGGTGAAAGCTGAAAGATAAACTTCGAAAAGTACGATCTCTCTCTGGTATCCCACCTCTATCTGTCCCTAGTTGTTCGCAGGTGAATGAGAAACTGGTAATCCAAGTCACGCAGGCATCAACGAATGCAAACAGGTGGAACGCCCACGGCTTCGAGATAAGGAGTTCAAAATGAAATTTCGTGTAGTCAGGTGCGCGTGCTAGACACTTTAAGATAATATGTTAGTCTTGTGTGCGATAGGATGTCCTGTGAGCTCTTCAGATCCTGAATCTCCATAAATGGGTATGACTGGTTAAGGTGACCAGCTTTGTGCGGCAACCGCAAGTTAAGGTACTCTGGATTTGTTATAGCGCCACCATTTCACAATATACATTGTCCGGGAAAGCAAGTTTTGGGATTTCTGTTTTGTCCTACTGACGCTCCTCTATGAAAAAAAAGACCCGAAAATGTTGTCTAAGTGTCTTTATCGCCTTCCACTCTTTTTGTGAAGTACTTGGCTGAAAGACCTCGCTCCTAGTTACTCTGCTTCGCACCTTTTCCTTTCTGGCCCCTCTATAGCTCCTCATTTCGGTCCTTTTCAAAGTCCTTCCGGTGTCTAGCATCTTCCGCTCCTAGTCATCCCACCGACTCCGGATATCTCAGTCACTTCCTCAGTAGCTGGGGCTTGACTATGAGCTGTAGTCTTTTTTATGACTTCTTTCTAGTCTTCTTTTTACGGGACTGCTTTTTGTTTGATCCTTTTAAGGGATAAAGTGCCAGGGAGTTCTTTTGGGAGCATAGTTTGAAACTTCTGGTTTTAGGGACTGAACCTTTATATAGTGATTAAGGCCCTTGAACTAACTTGTGAAACTTGAATAGTCAGTCTCTTCATGCGGCTGCAAGAACCAACTGTTAATTTGAAAAATATTCAATACGTGTTAAAACATGAATCAGAAGAAAATTGATGAAAAAAAAAAATTAAAGGGAAAATGTAACACGACTTGGTAATTTTATGTGTTACAAAAGAGCAAACTCTTATACCTTCAATCTACAAACCTCATGATCATTAAAAGCAAGAAAAAATTGGAAAAAAAAGTTGCTTATAATCTGTTTGTTTGGTGAAAAACTGCAGAAAGAGAAACAAATGTAAAGAGGTCACAATATATTTTTACGCAGACAACCGTACAAAGATGAATACTCATACATATTTTGGTGGTGCAAATTGCAAAAGAAAACCTGATTTTCCTCTGCACTGTGATGTTTTATCCACCAAAAAACATCTTCTGATTCAGTACCTTAAACAAAAATAAGGAATACCTCCGTATGAAAAAATTTGCACTCCCCTACATGTTCAAGTCAAACCACCCAAAATTTAAGCTCCAAAATTTAACCATTTTAATTCTCAAATTACACAAAATTAGTGAAGACACAAACCCCAAAATTTCTTCAATTCATGAGCGAGCAGGGCCTTGTCTTCAAATTTCTTTGAATGACGCTAATACAATGTCTCAAATACGAAAACTGATGTCTGCATGGAGAATCAATTGCAGATTAAAGCAACAACTGAAACCGTAATCAAAACTGATGCTTGAATGGATAATTAATTGCATATTAAAGCAAAATTTCAATCGTAATCAAAACCGATGCTTGGTCGGTTATCTATAATTATCGGGTTTAACGGTTAGAATTGTCGTCCCTAGGAAGAAGGGGGAGTGTTGAACCGCAAACATTCTCATCATGATACAATCACCACCTCTCTTTCGGCTTCACGGCCACTCTTTTCTTGTCACTTTAGCATAAACACTCATCAGGGTCATAAAATGTGCGCCTAGATACATTACAGGTGCGCACATATGCATAGCAGCATGCATTTTCGTTTCTAGTTACATGAAGCAATAGGCGGACTGACTGATAAATCAACACTTTCGTTTCTAATGCTTAGTAGCATACTGTTGCACCATTTTGTTGGAAGGCTGTGAGGGGATGCAACTCGAGCGCATTGCATTTCTTTTCCTACGATGCAAATCGTCAAATGTATGCCAACAATATATACCTTCATTGTCATTAACAAAGTATATGCAGTTTGATTTACATCCTTAATGCATTGAAGCCACCACGGATATATATTGAATCGTTATCCCCACAAACAAAGCAATATCACCCAACTTGTTTTTCTCAATCCACGAAGACAAATAAACCTAAATAAATAAAACTTTCGTCTTTATTTTCCAACAAAAAGAAATAAGAATATTAGAAAAGTTGTCTCTCATAACATTTCTCAAATCTTTAGAGATTAGTCTTCTCTCAAAGCAGAGAACTTTGTCGGTTTGAGGTCCTCCTTTGGTCTTTCACTCAACCGAAGATAACTCCTGTCACGCAACCATCTATTTGTTCAATTGTTATGATAGTTTTACAGTTGGCAATTGGTCACTAATTTAAACACGCACACATATTTATTATTCTTTTTTTATTTTGTCTACGTTTTTAATGTGGTTTCCCGTCACTAGTTCAAAATTGAAAGAGTAAGCTGAACTATTAACTTAATTTTCTTACTCAAAATTGTGGCGTAATTTCCTTTGTTTTCGTGACATTTTTTTTTCAAAAATTCATCAACATTTTTTTTTTTTTTTTTTTTTTTGAAAACTAAGAACCGGTGTTACAGTACAAGTACTACAACAATACGAGAAATCTTTAAAATTTAGAATACAGTATATCATGATACGGAATTTAAAATGATTCGACAAAAAAAAAAAAATCTATTTTTATTTTTGGTAATAGATTATCACCTAATATATTACTCTTTCTAGTGGATTTGCGGTAAAAAAAATTAGATTATGTTATTCACACACTTATTTTTACTTCTGACACACCTCTTCTTAATTTCTCTTTTTTGATCTTATTCAATTCATTCGTTCCGACGTCTAAAATTGAGAAAATGTGTGAGAGCTAAAAAGAGGTGGGTAGATAGTATCACCCAAAAATTATTACTAGTAGATTAGTTGTAATTTTCTACAAGTGGGCCACTGACTTTACTTTGGGAGGTTATCTTGTATAAGACCATCATCAAAGGAAATGTCAAAAAAAAAAAAATTTTGAACAATCGATATTGTCTACATTAAGAAAAGGGTGTTGAGCTTAACCTCATAAAGAAATGTCAAATTTTAAACACAAAATTTAAATTTGAAGGCTTATGTGGCATATTGATCTTTTTATAAATTTTGTTTTTCGCCCGCTATGCCAAATTTAAAATATTATTAATCGTATTATTTACTTTTCATAATTGTAATTAGTATTTTTAAAACAAAAAATAATAAAAAATTTTACAAAAAGCAATTATGATTCACTAAAAATATATTTGCAGGTGTTGTTAAATTTGACAACAACTCTTCTACTGTCATTTTATGTCATGTCATATAAGAATTGACATTTCAATTATAAAACACTAGTGTCATCTTTTTTAACCACTAAAAAGGACAAGGATTGTATGCCCTCCCACTTCATGTGTCCTTCCGTCCTCTCCTGTTTTGTGTGATCACGGTTAAGTCACGTTAATATTTTATATATATATTTTTTTTTTACAGAGATAATAAGACGAAAATAAATAGTAATATAAAATGTTGACGTAGTTTAACCATGACCACACAAACAGGAGAGCACGAGAAGTAGGAGGACAGACAATCTTTATTCCACTAAAAATGGTAGAGTCACGATTTAATAGTATGTTATGACGTGAAAGACAGAAAATTGACACTTCACATTGGACTATTTTCTATATATTATATGGGGCTCGTTCAAGGTTAGAATATTCAATAATTTTATTCTATTATCTCAATTAGCAGTTTCAATCACCATGTCCAAGTCTCTTTTTTTTTTCGCTAAATGTTCTCTTGATTTTATAGACTTGCTATTTCAAAGTATAATTTTTAAAGGGACGTTTTGATATAGACGCTTCGTTTTTTAGTTTTTTAGATTAAACATACATTTCTTTTGAAAATTTGATCAAACATTTTCTTAAATTTTTTGTTATTAATTTCAGTTTTTCACATAAGTTCAATTTTGTTTAGAATTTTAGTTTTTCACGACTTCTCTTGGACATTTCGTTTTTTTTTTTTTTTTCCTTTTCCTATTATCCCTATATTTATGCATTTATTATCCATCTCTATGCATTTTTTTATTTTTTGTTATAATTTTTACTTTTTTTGTGAATATAGTAGAATATTTATAAAAAAAAAATTGTCAGATTTTATTATTTAGAAGACCCAACACATAATAAAGATTTGTTTGATTATATAGCTACGTCTAGTTACCTATAATATGGACACATTTAATTTTATAGTGGATTTGATTTTTTGTATTTCTCGGTACATTTGGAATGTAAATGTACCAAAAAGGGTTATCTAATAGAGACATTTGATTTTGTGGTACATTTGGGATTTTTTGTTCATTTGGTCTTTTAGTTCATTTGGAATCTAAATGTACCAAAATGGTTACCTGACAATGGGCACATTTGGTTTTATGGGTACATTTGGTTTCTCGGTACATTTGAAATATAAACGTACCAAAAGTCGATAATTTTGTTCTTAAATGTACCATAAGTTTTAAGTATATTTTTTTTTATATATCTATGCATGAAAAAAATATGTATTAAGGATTTTTTATTAAGACATTTTTAATAGAAAGATATATATTTTTTTAAATACTGATAATAAGGAAATGAGGGATTAGTTAATTACTTTTTTATTTTATTTTATTAAAAAATATCATTTAATGCGTAGAAGGGGATTCGAAATTAAATTCCTATATTATAGGCAATTGGTTGCTAAGCTACCTTATGCCTCTATATAAATGCATTTAAATTAATAACACGGAAATTAAATAAAAAGAAAATTATTGAGGTGGCAATTGATCAAAGCACCTTAATCAAATCTTTAAAATGGATGAATGTTTAATCTAACAACTATAAAAAAGATGTAAGGCATTCTAATTTTTCTATTTTTAAATTCGATGTTAAGTTTTACTTAATCTTTATACCGTATCTCTAGATTTTGCGACAAACGAATTAAGAAATGCTATATTTGGTGTGAAGTCTTCAACTACGAAGTTTTTTGGGATGGGAGGGGTAGGAAAGAAAAAACACTTCAGGTATCTCATCAAAAAATTTTGCTATTTTGTTTTGTATCTTCTATCTTTCTTGAAGATTTTTTGTCTTGATTTCTACATTAACGTCTTATAGTTTTAGACTTTCAGGAGACCTGCCGGCAGTTGCCTGAGTACAACACTACTAAGGTTGGTCTCGACCACATCCCTCAGTATGAGACTACCAAGGTTGGCCTCGACCACATCCCTTGCTTCTCTGTCACTGTCATCATCAACGGCCTCGACTTCTACATTGTCCAGTATCTCGCCTTCAACCACCTATCTAATCATCCCCAACCCAAACCTAGGAATCTGAGCCCTTCCGCTTCCCCTCGAACCTTCTCTGCTACATTCGATCCCAAGGACTCTTACCCAAGATAAAAAGGACAAGGATTGTCTGCCCTCCCATTTCCGGTGTCTTCCTGTTTGTGTGGTCACGGTTAAGCCATGTCAACATTTTATATTACTATTCATTTTTGTCTTATTATCTCTATAAAAAAAAACAATATAAAATATTGACGTGCCTTAACCGTAATCACACAAAACAGAAGGGCACAGATGGCAGACAATCCTTATCCAGATAAAAACCACTGCTGTGAAAATCGATTATATATAACAACTCTGCAGGGATGGAGCTTTCTCATCAGTCTCTACAGCTGCACTCCCTCAGATAATCAATTATTTTCATTTATATTATACAGGGCTCGTCTGTTGCTGTTCGAGGTTAGAATATTCAATTATTTTTTTCTAAAATCTCTATGATAATCAGCAGTTTTAATCACCATGTCCAAGTCTGCTTTTGTGACATCCCGTCCCGAAGATATCAAAACGTACGTGTGAAAAGACAATTTTACCCCTAGTTCGTTCTCTTTACGTTATGGGTTGTTTTGTGTGGTGTTGGCATGTGTTGGGCCACACACACACACACTGTCACTCTCCCTAACCCTCTGTCCCTTTCCCTGTCTCTCTCCCGAGTCCCCTCTCCTCCCATTTCCATTGAAAACGTACGGACACACACCCAAAACCCCTCAAACCTTTACAGATCGAGGGAACCAAGACCATAGTCGAGCTCGTGAGGCTGGGAGGAGTCCAGTCGTACCATTTGCAGGTAAGGTTATCACCGTTTTCAAGTCGATTTCACGAAGCCAGTTTTGGGGTACTATTCATGCAAACGTAATTTCTCACGTTTTAAGGAAAATGAAGCTCGTAGGTAGCTTGGTGAGGTCCCAAGGAGTCTCGGAGTAGTTCGTTTGAAGAAATTGGACGTCGGGATCGCCGTGTTCGAAGTTGGCCGGATTTGGAGTTTGGTGACAGGTAAGATCTCGTGGTTTTTAATCCCTAAAAGTGGTGTATTTATGTTCTTCTAGGTCTAAGCTTCATTTTGGTGCAAGAATTATGGAATTTGGTTGAAAAACGGACGAGATATCGAAGTTAGAAAATTTTCCAGTTTTCCGGCGCCGGAGTCTCGCCGGAGAAGGAGATGGAATATTCCGTCAAGTCTGACGGAATATTCCTGACGCCGTTAACGGAATCTGTCAAAACTGATGGAATATTCCTAACGGCGTCAGTTGACGCCGTCAGTGTGCCAGGCACGTGCCTGCGCGTGGCCGGCGCGTGTGGCCGTGCCTTGGCCGGCGCGTGGGGGCACGTGCGGCGGTGAAAAAATTTTCTAAAAATTTGGGTGCAATCCTGAGGTTGTGTAGAGCACGTTGGTATATTCGTTTGTCCAAATTGAGCAATGTATGAGAAGTTATTACGAGAAGTTGGTTATGTGCTATAAAATTAACGTTTTTATAGTTGTTTCGCATATAGGTGATACGTATCCCGAGGACGAGCGTGGTCACTCGAGGCAGGGGGGCTACGACCCTTCCACATACCAGTGAGTGGGCTTTTGGTTTTCCGTATATACCTATATACTTATATTTTCCCAGAAATTGAATTGAATTATTGTTTGCCATATGCCATGCATTATATTATCGTTGGTTGTGCATTGTTAGTACATTATTAGTGGCATATATACATATGCATATTGGGTGCTGTGGACGCACAGGTAAGTGTCAGGTGAGTGTTATTTATATTTATGTTTCAGTAGTGGTTTGAGATGCTTAGAGAGCTCATAACATGCACCCCTGGTGTTAGTGCTCCCGCCCAGAGTAGGGTACAGAGGCCTGGCAATTTCTGACACGACCCGATAACCCGACACGACACGACACGAAATTAACAGGTGTTTGGGTCGACACGATAACGAATCGGGTCTTATCGGGTAACCCGATAAGCACCTGTTAAGATAACGGGTTGGGTCGGGTATACACGTGGGTAAACACGATACACGATAAGCAGAATATTATTTTTATAATTTTATAACCCTAAAAAAATACTGTAATAATTATATACATTAATTTTACAATTTTATACCCCTAAAAATTATAATAAATATATATATATATATATATATATATTAAATTAACTATAAAATTTATAATAATTATAATAATTATATATACTATAATAATTATACCCCCAAAATATTAAGTCTATCTATACTAATTATATATATATATATTAAATTTTATAAAAACTATAATGCATATTAATTAATAATTTAATATGCATGATCATGCATTTGCCAACTTGCCGCCCTTTTTGAAAAAAAAAATGGAGGGAAAATGAAAATGTTAAGAAAAGTTGAAAATAAAACTAAAAAGTCAGGGAATTAGGGAAAGATGTTGGAGGGAAAAGTAAAAATGATAAGAAAAAGTTGAAAATGAAACAAAAAAGAGAGGGAAAAATGAAAATTAATAGAAGTGGTGAGAAATTTTTTTTTTTTTTTTTAAGTTATTAACTTTTTATCACACACATGACTGTCATGACATATCTCACTATTTTTATAATGAACACGTGATGTATGTACTATTCCGTGTACCAGTCAATTATAATTTATACGTACAAAATAAATAGATTTAAATCTACTTAATAAATATATATATATACACACACACACACGGAACTTGATTGATGGCATACGAATTCTCCAAAACTAATTTCAACGATCCAAACCGTCAAAATTGTTTGTATATGCTTGGAGATCACATCAGAAAAAAATCACAAAAAAAAAAACATTCACAGGTCAAGTAACGGGACAAAGTTTTTCAACGGTTATAAACGAAAAATCACGATTTAACGGTTATTTTAACTCCGATTTTGATGATTTTTTATAACTACACTCCTTGACCATATATGAATACAATGAATTAATTCGATCTTCAATTTAAAATATTTACACAAGTGGATACCACAAAATCTTATGTTATACTTAATAAAAGTATAAATAAACTCTAAGTGTTAGTCAATCTATCGTTTTATGAATTCTCCAAAACTAATTTCAACGATCCAAACCGTCAAAATTGTTTGTATATGCTTGGAGATCACATCAGAAAAAAATCACAAAAAAAAAACATTCAAAGATCAAGTAACGGGACAAAGTTTTTCAACGGTTATAAACGAAAAATCACGATTTAACGGTTATTTTAACTCCGATTTTGATGATTTTTTATAACTACACTCCTTGACCCTATATGAATACAATGAATGAATTCGATCTTCAATTTAAAATATTTACACAAGTGGATACCACAAAATCTTATGTTATACTTAATAAAAGTATAAATAAACTCTAAGTGTTAGTCAATCTATCGTTTTACGAGTTCTCCAAAACTAATTTCAACGATCCAAACTGTCAAAATTGTTTGTATATGCTTGGAGATCACATCAGCAAAAAATCACAAAAAAAAAACATTCAAAGATCAAGTAACGGGACAAAGCTTTTCAACGGTTATAAACGAAAAATCACGATTTAACGGTTATTTTAACTCCGATTTTGATGATTTTTTATAACTACACTCCTTGACCCTATATGAATACAATGAATGAATTCGATCTTCAATTTAAAATATTTACACAAGTGGATACCACAAAATCTTATGTTATACTTAATAAAAGTATAAATAAACTCTAAGTGTTAGTCAATCTATCGTTTTACGAATTCTCCAAAACTAATTTCAAAGATCCAAACCGTCAAAATTGTTTGTATATGCTTGGAGATCACATCAGCAAAAAATCACAAAAAAAAAACATTCAAAGATCAAGTAACGGGACAAAGCTTTTCAACGGTTATAAACGAAAAATCAAGATTTAACGGTTATTTTAACTCCGATTTTGATGATTTTTTATAACTACACTCCTTGACCCTATATGAATACAATGAATGAATTCGATCTTCAATTTAAAATATTTACACAAGTGGATACCACAAAATCTTATGTTATACTTAATAAAAGTATAAATAAACTATAAGTGTTAGTCAATCTATCGTTTTACGAATTCTCCAAAACTAATTTCAACGATCCAAACCGTCAAAATTGTTTGTATATGCTTGGAGATCACATCAGTAAAAAATCACAAAAAAAAAACATTCAAAGATCAAGTAACGGGACAAAGCTTTTCAACGGTTATAAACGAAAAATCACGATTTAACGGTTATTTTAACTCCGATTTTGATGATTTTTTATAACTACACTCCTTGACCCTATATGAATACAATGAATGAATTCGATCTTCAATTTAAAATATTTACACAAGTGGATACCACAAAATCTTATGTTATACTTAATAAAAGTATAAATAAACTCTAAGTGTTAGTCAATCTATCGTTTTACGAATTCTTCAAAACTAATTTCAAAGATCCAAACCGTCAAAATTGTTTGTATATGCTTGGAGATCACATCAGCAAAAAATCACAAAAAAAAAAACATTCAAAGATCAAGTAACGGGACAAAGCTTTTCAACGGTTATAAACGAAAAATCAAGATTTAACGGTTATTTTAACTTCGATTTTGATGATTTTTTATAACTACACTCCTTGACCCTATATGAATACAATGAATGAATTCGATCTTCAATTTAAAATATTTACACAAGTGGATACCACAAAATCTTATGTTATACTTAATAAAAGTATAAATAAACTCTAAGTGTTAGTCAATCTATCGTTTTACGAATTCTCCAAAACTAATTTCAACGATCCAAACCGTCAAAATTGTTTGTATATGCTTGGAGATGACATCAGCAAAAAATCACAAAAAAAAAACATTCAAAGATCAAGTAACAGGACAAAGCTTTTCAACGGTTATAAACGAAAAATCAAGATTTAACGGTTATTTTAACTCCGATTTTGATGATTTTTTATACTACACTCCTTGACCCTATATGAATACAATGAATGAATTCGATCTTCAATTTAAAATATTTACACAAGTGGATACCACAAAATCTTATGTTATACTTAATAAAAGTATAAATAAACTCTAAGTGTTAGTCAATCTATCGTTTTACGAATTCTCCAAAACTAATTTCAACGATCCAAAACGTCAAAATTGTTTGTATATGCTTGGAGATCACATCAGCAAAAAATCACAAAAAAAAAAACATTCAAAGATCAAGTAACGGGACAAAGCTTTTCAACGGTTATAAACGAAAAATCACGATTTAACGGTTATTTTAACTCCGATTTTGATGATTTTTTATAACTACACTCCTTGACCCTATATGAATACAATGAATGAATTCGATCTTCAATTTAAAATATTTACACAAGTGGATACCACAAAATCTTATGTTATACTTAATAAAAGTATAAATAAACTCTAAGTGTTAGTCAATCTATC